TCGTCTATATAGTCTTGCATGCACGTGACTATGGAAGGATCCTCTTAAGTAGTCACACTCCCCTATAGTCACCGGTTTTGGCGGAACCGACGGCGTGATTATAGGGGGGGTACGACTGTAATATTAAAAATTCGGGGGCGAGAAAATTCTTTATCTTAGAGTGATTTTATCTTAAAGTGACTTTATTTTATCGAGTTTGACTATGCACAAAACTGTCATGGCCACGTTCATCTTAACTTTGATGATATAGGTTGGGAGAATTTAAAACCTAAGATTCTGAGGATTCTAGTTTTTCGTCATTATCCGGTCGACGTTTGAGATCGCTTGAAATTTTCCCGAGTCAAACAATCTTCTACAACACGATACTTTTGAGGAAATTGGAGATACCTACCTGGACAAAAGTCTTGCACACCGAAAAATTTTAATCGTACGAAATTATACATAATAATTATATTTCAAATTTTAATATAACGTTGTTTTGGTTTTGAACAAACGCGTGTATAAATTTTCGTGTTGTTGTTTGTAAACACACATCAGAATATATAAATAAATCCGCAAACACTTTTAATCTTCATTGATTTTAAAATGCATCCCTTAACTGAAAGTCAACGAGGTGAAATTATTGGTCTTTACAAAAATAAACAATCAGTACCAAAAATTAGTAGAATGCTCAAAGTTCATAGAACAACTGTCATTCGTACTATTGCTAAGTATTTTAATGGAGATGACCTTATTGACCAATGGGAGTCAAAAAATTCTAAAGACTATTGTTATAAACAATAAGCTGAAGAAATTAAAAACAAATTTGTTGAAAAAATTAATATTGAAGTTTCCACAAAAACTATTAGAAGAAATTTGCACGAAATGCAGATTTTTTTCTCGTATGCCAGCTTGTAAACCTCTTCTTAGTGATCAGCAAAGAGAACAGTGCCTAAGATAAGTGCATTCAAAAAAGAAACTGGACTGTTCGAAAATGGAAGTCTGTCATTTGGAGTGATGAGAGTAGATTTACAATATTTGCCGATGATGGACCAGGCCACGTCTGGAGACTCCTGGCACTAGGTTTAATATTGCAAACATGGTTCCAACTGTAAAATTTGGAGGTGAAGGACTAATGGTGTGGGGGTGTTTTTCAGGTAAAGGGTTGGATCCATTGGTAAGGTGGAGGGTAAAATGAGTAGACTAGATTATATACAAATACTGGGAAAACGTTTACTGCCTTTGATAAACAAGGAATTCAATGGCAAGAGATATGATAATAATAATGCCCCAGTCCATACTGCAAAGGATGTCAAGCAGTGGATGCTCACAAACAAGTTAATGTTTTATCAGATTGGCCAAGCCAGTCTCCTGACTTAAATCCAATTGAGCATTTATGGTCAGAGCTGGGAAGACAAATACGAAAGCGACCACAAGCCATAAAAATCATTACAGAATTAGCACTGCATTACAAGAAGAATGGGGTGAAATTTCGATGAATCAAATAATCAGCTTGATAGAAAGTATGCCACGAAGAATAGAAGCAGTTATTACAAGCAACGGCTGGCCTACTAAATATTGATTATACATAGTTACTTCATTAGTTAAAGTATAAGCTGTTAAAATTTGAAATGTAATTATTATGTGCAATTTTATGTAATTGAAAATTTTTGATGTGCAAGACTTTTGTCCAGGTAGTGTACATCCTAACAGCATGTCATCCACACAGATTTGGTTGAAACATGATGGCACGAATAAACAATTCTCGAAAAAGCGCCAGCGCATTTATTTTATTTTATTTTATTTTTTTGCTTAACGATAGGAGATTGGCACGCTCATTATACAAAATTTTAGAAAAATCACTCAAACGTTTGGTTATGTGATATGTACACGTTGTAAACCCGTCACATTACGCGTTTTAAATTTATTTACAAACATATGTATTGAGCAGATGCGTTAGCAATAATGTTTATAACATCAACTAGCATCTAAATATATTTTCTAATCTATTAGCCAACCTTCCCCCTTCCCCTTTCCCTGAAAAAGCGACAAGCTTAATTTACAATCTCAATCCCAAAAATGAATAACCAAAGACTCGATCTGCCTGATACCCTCACGCGATTGCTCACGAAAAAGTCCTCTTAACTATTTCGAAGAGCCCAATATTTTATTCTTGTAAGTCAGAACAATTCTCTTTCCGTCGACACCCATCTTTACACTTGAACTCATTTGCTCCAACAGTTTCTCAGCTGCTATATTCCACATAAATACTTCACATCTATTCCCTTCATCAGTCACGCTAACCATCGCCATTGGCCATGGTGACGCTGTATACTGTCGGATAGCCCCCTGCGCAAATCCATTCCGAACCGAAAGAATTCCAAGAGTACCTGCCGACTCTCGACTCAACACGCCTTCGAACTCTCGAACAACATTCGGTTTACATCGATGAGACCCGCTTTTACATTGTCCAACTAGAAATATTTTTTTGTCGGGGAGTAACCAGTATCCGCGAAAATCTACTCCACGGTCATCACCTCTCCCACAATGACGACTGATAATGTTAAAATGATTTTCAAGACAATGCATGGTTTCGTATTCGTACAGTGTGCCGCGGTATACATAAGTGGATGTGTCATGGTGAGTGCGGGAAAGAAAAGTCTGAAGGTTCGTACGGGAATAAGAGCGAGAAGTGGAAGTAAACAATGAGGGTGGAGATGAAACGTTAGATGTTGCTGAAGAAGCCGGTTCCATTGCGGAATTGCCCTGAGGCTGTGATTTCTTTGATTTCTTTGCTCGGATGTTTTCTGCATTATCATTATCATTATCACTTTGAGGCAATTTGGATGTAGAAACTTGTCTGCTAACTAATAATGACCTATTCGGTAAAATTGTACTGAGAAGACAATGTCTACGCGTTGAGAACCCAAGCAGGGCATTAGCCTGCCAAATTCTTAATTCAGCATGAATACATAATCTTTGGGAGATATTATTCAGGCACATTCCCTATGTTTACACTTCTCCGAGTATGCACACGTGTGAGAAGTTGTGTTCTTATGTCGAGTCAAAATCTTTTTCAGTTTACCAAAAAAGGATCGTATCATTTGACACTGTCACGGGCTGTGTTACATTTTATTGGAGAATACATAATAGATTATACTTTTGTTGAGAAATTATTTTGTCTAAATAATTGGATCTATGAAAATGTTCACAATGATGTGATGCTTCCCAAAATTTTATTTTAAATTTTAACACCCTTTGCCAGATGCTTTTTGTACGCCTCAATACTCGAGTCCCAAGGTGTAACCGTTCTGTTACCACACACCCATATTTGCTCAGCAACTTGCGAAATCAGTCTAAAATCATGGGATACTAAAACAACTCCACCTGTAAAACTGTTTATGGCATTTGCCAGTGAATCTATGCTCTCCATATCCAAGTGATTTGTCGGTTCGTCCATAAGGACTATGTCGGGGACGGATAATACAAGTTCAGCGAATACAATCCGAGATTTCAAACCATCACTCAAAGTCTTGATCGGCGATGTTTGCTGTGCTCCGGAAAGACCATAACGGCCGATTTGACTTCGCCAGTACTGTGGAAAGACGAATGTGAATATATGTTGTAAACGGGAAAACGCATATGCTCACGAAATCGAGTACTTACATCAGTGTCTCCATTAAGATGAGCAAACTTTCGTCTCATGTATTGAATAGGACTCAGCTCAAGATCAAGCTGGTCAGCACTGTGCTGACTGTATTTGGCTAGTTTAAGATTGGTATGTCTTGCAATGCGACCTTTCGTTGGTTGAAGTTCCCCCATCATCAATTTGAGGAGAGTACTGTGGAATAGACACCAATATAAGCTATGTAAAAGCGGTTACGTCAGGACAATTCAATCGCATACCTTTTCCCGGTACCATTTGGACCAACTAATGCCACGCGAGAGTCCATATCTACAGCCAAATCAAGATCCTCATAAAGGTAATCTTTCGGAAGACCACTGTACGAGAAAGATACTTGATCAAACTGCAAGACTGGTGGAGGTAATTTGGGTACATCATTGAACTTAAACTTGAAAGTAGCTTGTGTCTCGACCTGCAGAATAAATCGCAAT